AATCTTTAGGATGAGATTAGCAGGCACATATACAATGTTTATTAGTCATTTAAAACTGTTTTCCGTGAAAAGTAGTTTGAAGATAGGTGAGTAGACATTGATCAATGCAGAACCATAAACAAGATAAACAATATGTTCTGATGTTGTAATTGCTAATTCTGTAATTCAGTTTCTAAATACTAAGTTTAACTTACAGTCTCCCCTTGTGCCTTCCCACCATCCCCCATCATGTGAATTTTGTAGTTTAAAAACCAAAAGAAAACAAAACAACCCATGAAAAACCCAGACAAACAAACAAGAAAAACCCCACCTGAATGCTCCCTTCAGGTCTTAGCAAAGAGAGGACAGTTTAAAGATACTTCAGCTCTTCTCTTTGCTGTGCTATCAAAGTGATCTTTAAGAAAATGTAGTGGGAAAAAAAATAGTGCCTATAATGTTTGTTTTTAGTGATTGTAGGTATAACAGAATTTAGAGGTAACAAATTCTGAGGATGCAGTTTGTGTTAGTTCCTGCAGAATAACACCCAATAAACACAGAATGAAAAATAAACCGACAAAAACCAACAGATCAATCCACCCATTTATTTCTTCACTGAGAGGTATTAGGAGGTGATGGAGGGTGATGTGGTTCTTAAGAATAATTAGCAGAGGCGGTATGAAGAGCTGGCTCACGTGCACAGGAAATTACTGTAGAGACAAATCAGCATGCTGGCGGAACATGTATAGTAGGTACGGGACCTTGCCGCTTGCTTTCAGCTTTATACTTATCACTTTAACCAGTTTCTTGAGCTACTTCGTATTTACACTTATTAAAAGGATCAAGTGTGCTCAGGTGGTATAATTAAAATCCTTTAGTTGTTTCACACGTGTTGTAAAAAAGCGATCTTTCTAGTGAAATGACCAAGTGTTAAACACTAACAACATGAGTATGTCATTACTAGAAAGCCTCCTTCAGTGTTGAAGGAAAAGAATCTTCCCTACAAGCTTATTTTTTAAACAGATTCAACTGATTTAGAAGGGAGATAATCTTGAGTCAGAAGTCACCTAAGAACTGCATTTTAAGGAAGTCTTGCAAATCTTCATGTATGTTTTTGTAGTACTTAATAATTCTGAATTTTCCTGAGTAAAACTGAGTGAAGTCAGGTAGAATTTGTCATTCCACAGCTTGTTCTTAGATGTAAAGCACTGTATTATCTTTGATTTTTAACCGACAAACCTATGTGTGTGGTTATACATAAAGCTGATTTCTAAACCATGAAGGTAATTCTAGAGTATGTTTTATTTTTGTTGTATTTCCTATGTTGAAAGTAAGTTTTTTAGGTCTTGTATGAAACAAGAAGGAAATATCAGGTAATATTCTCAAACCTGAGTTAAAAATCCTGCATCACCTTTTTAAGGTAGGCTGTTGTGAGAATTCAGTTTTCTACAAATGACTCAGTCTTGCTACTGCAAACATAGCAAATTTCTGAGAAGGGAACATGCGTAAAAAGTGCCTAATCTTTTTAGGAATTTATAGTTTATAGGAAGGTGCTGAAAATGAGTTTGGCAGGGGACATGGAGAAGCTTTTAAGTCTTCTACAAAGCTGTGTGTAAGCTTGGCATTCGGTGGGTTTTCTGTTCTCCTAAATGTCAGCAGTTAGTTACTGCTCATCAGCTAAGTCTTCAGAAAACAAATGGTTACCTTAATCCACCTTTGTAATTTAAGAAAACGTTAGTGGGGGGGGCTGAGGTGGGGAGTTAGGGTTTTCTTTTTACTCTGTTAGACACATGTGGTGTGGGGTTTTGGGTTGTCTTTTTTAATCTTGCAATATGCTAGGAGATGCAGTGGTTTTGAATAGGCTATGGAAATAAAAATTCAGAAGTTGGAAAGTGTCATAAATGAAGTGGGGAAAAAATGTCAAAGATGACAGGATAAACAAATTAGAAGCACAGATAAGAATAAAACCAGCAACAAGTGAGCTCACCCAACTGCAAGCCAGAGTGAATGAGACAGAAGTGCCTCAAAACCACCTGAACAGAGAATCAGAGTCTTCAGGTATGAGCAAAACACTCTTCTCATTCTCCTCTCATCTCAGAGGGAGCGAGTGAGCATGCTTGAGAACTGTTGTAGATGAAACATAGCTCTCTAGCATCTCTTTATTGTTCTGTATGGCATTCTTAATTAAAACACTCTACTTGCCTGTTTGGCCTGTGGTTTCAAATTCTACCAATGCAGCCTTCAGAGACAAAATTTAGAACCCTTGTTATATTAGAAGCTAAATTTTTCATTGTACATGATGCATTTCTGAAACCTTGTAAGAAAATCTGGAACTTGGAAACTGAAGCATGAGCTGTTTTTTCTATGTAATATATTACCATACTGGTTCAAAATGCCCAGACTTATATATGCAAACAAGTCAGCAAAAGTTGCTAAAATATGATTGCATGTAATACACCAGAATTAGGATACCAACTAATACTGTGGCGCTAGTTGATAACATGGGTGTTCTTACTCCAGAATAACTTCCTGCTCCCAGTCCTGTACCTGCAAAATCTAGCAGGTATTAGTAAAGATACAAAGTAAGCAACCTTTAGATTCACTGCTAAGTAACAAGCCTTTCTTCACACTAAATCTTTTATTTTCAGGCAAAATTAGATAAAGGTGCTGAGTTGTACAAAGAAGAAATTGATCATCTCAAAACACAATTGGTAAAATGTGATATGGAAAGAATGAAGCAATCCAACTCTCTTGAAATTAAGTAAGTTCAAACTTTACCTTGTTACAATTCTCAATGACTTTGGTTTGAGGCCTATTGTCTGGGCCTTTTTTTTTTGTTTCAATCGGTCCTTTGACTTATGAGTGAAGATCACGACCCTTTTGGAAGAGCCCAATATGTTCGCTCTATCCGCTTGATACGATACCATTGTTGTGGTTTAGGCCTGGTTGGCAGCCAACCACAATGCAGCAGCTCTCTCTCCCTTCCCCTCCGGCAATGAGAAGGGACAGAGAGCCAGGCTTGGGGTTCAAGATAGGACTGGGATGGGGGAAAATCCCCCTTTTATGATCATGAGCAAAAGGCAGACTCGTTAGGGGAAGAAAAAAGAACATACATTTATTATAGACACTCACAACACATAACAGAGTAGGACAGTGAGAGCATTGCCACATCTTGAGAACACCTTCCCCCCACCCCTCCCTTCTTCCCGGGCTCAGCTCTGCTCCCAATCTCTACCTCCTCCCCCAGTGGCGCAGGGGCAGGGAATGGGGGGTGCAGTCAGCTGCCACTTCCTTCATCTTCGGTGAGGGGAGTGTCCGAAACTTGTTCCTCCTGCTCCATCGTGGTCCCCCTCTCACAGGAGACAGTCCTCCACAAACTTTCTCCGACATGAGTTCCTCCCATGGGCCGCAGCGTTCCCCACACTACTCCGTCATGGGTCACTAACTTCTCCGACTGGATTCCCTCCCACGGCTGCAGCCCTTCCCGAGCTGCTCCGGCGTGGGACTCCCCCGCATGCTGCAATCCTCCCAGCACTGAATTACAGCAGTGGGGCTACCTTTTCCCATGAGACCCTGGCCTTCTTCGGGCACAGAGCCTTGATCAGGCAAGCAGGAGCAACAGGCCATAAATCAATGTCTGCTCCACCGTAGATCTCCATGGGTGGCAGGGGGGGCCGCCCTGCCGTCTCCCCACAGGATACAGGGGGGTCTCTGCTCCGGCACACCTCCCCCCTCCTTTCTTCCTCCGTTCCTCCACTGACCTTGGTGTTCATGCAGCTGCAGCAACTCCTCCTCACAAGTCCCACTGCCCGTCACCACGTCCCTTCTTAAATACGTTATCGCAGAGGCGCAGCCGATTGGCTCAATTTCCCAAACAGAAGCTGACGTGGAGCTGGGGGAGCTTCGAGAAGCTTCTCACAGGGGGCCTCCCCGATAGCCCCCTCCCCTGCCACCAAAAACTCCACCACTCACTCAACCCAGGACAAAGGGTAAATGGAGATCTACTCCACGGGGACCTCCCTCGCTGTCCCTCGTGCCCCGATACAAAGTTCGACCCAGAACCCGTGAGTTCCTGAGCTTGCTGCCGTTACGACCCAGACAAGTGTGCTACTGACCTCTATTTATTGCTACTACCACTATTCTGAAATAAACGGTCGATCCCTGGCGCTGTGGGTCGGGAGTCTGTCAGGAGGGCTGGGGCAATGGGCTCGGGGGACGGGGGGGTGGTTTCAATTCTTCCGGGGGCTGGAGGGTGCTGGCTGGTCCCACAACAGCTGGCCGCTGTGTCGACGGACGTGGAGGCCGGGGTGGAGGTGGGCGGGCCAGGCATCTGTCCGGGCTGGCGAGGGCCGGTCCCCTGGAGCGCTGTGCAGGCCGGCCAGTTCTCCAGGCAGAGGTGACGGCCGCTGGTGTCGGGTCCAGCTCTCAGGGGTGCCGGGGTGGGCCGTCCGGACGGCTGTCCGGGCGCGAGGGATGGCTGCTGGGGTTGGGCTAGGCTCCTGAAGCTGCGGAGGGGCGCCTGTGGAGAGAGGAGACTGCTGAGGCCCCGCGGCGGCTGCGGTGCCGGGTGGGTGCCAGGGTGCGGGGCAGCGTGGGCACCCCACGGGTCGTGGGCACCCGGCTGCACGTGGGAGCTGTGGGCACAGAGAGCTCTGTGCAGAAAACAGGGTGCCCTGCACCCCTCGGCTGGGGCTCTGCTCGCCTCCCCACGGCTCATCTCCTCTCGGCCCTGAGCAGCCTGACCTGCCTGCTCTGCACGTGCCGCCAAGGGCACTTGACCCCGGCAGAGCGAGGGGCCCAGAGCTGGGCACGGCACTGCAGGGCCAGGAGAGCCTCCTGTTCTCCTTTCTCGGCGTGCCTGCCAGAGACCAGCACTCGGCTCCCGTGCCCGTCCCTGCCCAGACAAGGGGACAGCCTTGTCTGTCGGAGCGTTTGGCCGGTAACTATCTCGGCACGCCAGAATACCTGGCCTCTAGATGCTTCGTGGCTAATAGCAGCCATCTGACACACAAGTTTGGCAACACTCACTGTTTTCGCTTCCTCCACAGGTGGAACACACAACAAAACACCATCCCAAGCAGCATGGAGCCCAGGACTGCCATGGCACCCTCCACGCAGTACTCCATGAAGTTTCCATGACCCGCAGCATTTGCATTTGTCTTGCCACCCACACCTGGAGGAACAATGCTCTACGTTAGCGTGTCCCGCACGCTACTGGTGATCTCACAGGAGGTCTGACGTTGCCAGGAAACGTTCCTTCGCACTTGCTTGGCCTCCCTGAACCGGTGAACGTCCTGGGGCTGCACCGTTTCCTTGGTTTCGGTAGAAGCCAAGGAAACTCCCAAGGCCGTTGCAAATCAACGCGCTCTGGAGCCTCTCTTTCTGCTCTCAGCTTTGCTTGCACTCTGGGGTGGCCGTAACCCAGTTTTCGCAGTGTCCCCGGTCTGCTCCCCCTTCTCGGTCACCTTCCGCATTTGTGCACAATTTCTGCTGCGCTCGCCCACCTCCACTCTCCGAGGCTCGCTGCTAGTGCTGCTGCATGGAGGCTCTCCCTGGCCCTCTGGGACAACTTGTCCCACTGAACTGAACTCATGAGGCCAAATGGAGAGCACGTCGGGGAGCACAGCTCCCGTTGGACCGATCGACCCTTTGAGTGAGATGGACAAAAGCCATCCCTGCCTCAGGGAGTGCCACCCCCAGCTCTCCCTCCCCAGCTCCGCACCCACACCCTGAGGGGACAGAGTCAGGCCCTCTCGGGAGACACCTGAACCTCGCCCTCTCTCTTCGCCTTCCCTCCAGCATGGGCCCTGCTTGCACACCGCCGCTTTTGGGGACGCGTCTCCCACTTATGGCCCCCTGCCAGACGGCTCAGTACCTGGACTGCTTCGAAAAACTTCATATGTCCCTGCGCGGTGGGCGTTCCCGGGCTTGGACAGAACTGCATAGAAACCAGAGAAAGGGAAAGCCTCAGAGAATTGGGGACGCGTCTCCCACTTATGGCCCCCTGCCAGATGGCTCAGTACCTGGACTGCTTCGAAAAAATCCATATATCCTGGCGCGGTGGGCGTTCCCGGGCTTGGACAGAACTGCATAGAAACCAGAGAAAGGGAAAGCCTCAGAGAAAGGCAAAACCTCAGAGAAAGGGAAATGGCTCAGGCGCAGAGGTTGCAGGAGGATGGTGGAGGTTTCCCCAAAGCCTGTGCCCGACATGTCAGTGCATCCCTTTGGACCTCAGGTCACAGGAGGGATCCCCCGCTGCCGTGCCTGGGGCCTCTAGGGACCCAGGGCAAGCTCTGGCCTGCAGCTATTGCAGGGGGGTACGTTCCATTAAGAGTCGCATTTCCCATCATCTGCTGAGCGTGGCTCAGATGGTCTTGTTCCCCAAATGACTAAGTTCTGAAAGTCCTGTCAACGGGGTGTGGTGGGAGGTGAGCATCTCTCTGCATCCACGGAGGGTTACGAGGGAGCATCTCCCCGCGCGCTGACGGCAAGCGCCTCCACAGCCCAGAGGTGACCGGCATCCTCAGAGAGCCGGTCCTGGCTGCTGCTTTTGAAGCACTCGCTCTGTACCACCAACTCTTTTGGGTTGTGCTGCCGACAGGACGCGCGGTAGAGGGCACTGGGGGAAGAGCCTGAAGACACGGAGTGATTTTGATGCGTGGTGCTGGAGGATCAAAGGACGGCAATTACCTGGGAGGCCTGTTGACTGAATTGCCCCCGTTTTTGCATCAGACACTCTCACTGCCTGACTGCGTCCTCCCTGAAACGCCTCGTTCTCCACAGTCTCTTGGTCCGTCTCTTTAGAAAGAAAGAAGGACAATTGAATTAGAAGTAACCGTTCCTCATCAGGAACACAGTATCTCCAGGAGGCCATACTTCTCAACATCCCTTCATGACGCTTAGAAACAAAGCCGGGACATTTGGGGGTGTACCTAGTGCCTAGTCCCAATGACATGTCATTCATGGAGGACAATTTAAGCACTAGACCCTTTCCACTTTAACCAGCAGACAGAAAATCCTGACCTGCTGGGAGACTAGGAGGTTGCACGTGAGCTTGTTCGCATTCCACTTAGTGCATTTTTGGCAAACGGCAAGATGATGGTAAATGACAGAATCTGTCAGAGGGGACAGGAAGATGCTGTAGCCAGTTCAGCTGGGGAAAGAGCCCTTCTGAGAGCACTTCCCATCGTGTCAACTCCATCCCACGGTCAGGGTAACAGACACGCATGGTGGACTGAAGCGCCAGCTCTTGCAACCATACTCTGGGCATTTTCACAAGTGGCACTGACGAGCCCGCAGTGCCCCGAAACAAGAGGACAACCACAACCGACCGATCCAAAGCACGACTAGACGCAGGCGCAGCTAAACCAACCGAGACTGAATTCACAGCCCTTCATTTGAGCTGCCTTCAAGTTTGGCGTCTGGCCTCAAGCTGGGTGTCCAGCTTGTACCTTTCCCTGGCACCGAGGTGTCACCGACCGTCCTCAGGCATCAAGAACGACGAGGCTGGACCGGGTTGTGAAGGTGGGGCTTCTCCGACCCTGGCCAGGGCACGCCTGCAGCCCTGGCAGTGTCCGCTGCTCTCAGCTACCCCAAGCTGCCTGCGCATCCTCTCCGCAGCCCAAGGGCACTCTCCCCTCGGGTGGGCGACCGGCGGGTGCTGGCCCTCTCATGACTTGTCAGGAACCAGCTCCTTGGCAAGTCTGTCACACATTCCAGGCGTGAGGAGCACCAGTTCCTGCCAGCTGGGTACCAAGGTCTGCCCAGAACAGCTCTGACCCCGGTAAGGCTCTAACCGGGGCAGCAGCTGGTCCTGGCACTCGGTTTGAACCGCGACTGGCAGCAGAGAGTCGGGCATCTCTGCAGCTCGCCAGCGCCTGCAAGGCGTGAAACTGAGTGTGGCCGCAGTGAGGCTCTGAGCGACCCCCTCCTCCTGCTGTGCAGGCTACGGCTTGTCCATCCACGCCCCCAACACCTCCGCTTCCCACGGCTTCTGGTGAAGAGCAATCATCTCTACCCACCATGTGCTGCTTTGTCCAGTTCCTTCAGGACTCCCTCTAGGACTTCTGATGACCGCGGGGAAGATTTTTCCATTTCCGCTCTGTACTTGGCTCTCGGAGGACCTGAACGGAAATCACAAAGTTAAATTTCTGGCAAATAGACTACTGGGAATGAGTGCTTAGTCTGTGGTCAGTCGAGACTGACCACTCACCCCTGCGATGCCAGGTGAGCTCCAGCGCAAGATCCAGCCGAGAAGCGGGAAGAGCCCTCCCTGCACCCACATCTGCAACCAAACACCCACGAGAAGTTTCCGTCACGCGCTGGGATACAATACACTGACACAGCTGAATAGCAGAACATAGAAGGGCATCACGTAACGACCTGGCACACACAGTGCAGGTCGTCTGCATTCTCACACCCGCAAGAGATGCCTCGCCACATTTGGCCTTTGAGCTGGCAGCTCCCAAGGGAAGCAAGAAGCCGGGACGTACCCACGCGATCTCCCTGAGCGTCAGCCCTGGAAGCCGGCTGGGAAGCTGGGTAGCCATCGCCTCCAGCCACGTCTGTAAACAAAGAGAACCGAGAGGCTCCCATGAACTGTATTTCACTATACAAAACAATACAGGGGCGTGAAGGCAGTTCAAACAGGGGATTGCTCCATGGCACTCGTCCCCCCCCTCCCCTCAGGAGCACTGTGCAGACAGGTACTGGGGCCTGGGCCACGCTGATCCAGAAGGAAAGCGTGCACGGAGGTATCGCTCCGGAGAAAGGACTCCCTGCCGCTCACACCAGCTCCAAGAAACTCAGCCCAGCAAGCCCGCTGGCTTTGCAGCAGGCGCTGGAAGCAGCGCAGGGTTGGAGAGGCTGGCCCAGACAGCTTCCCAAGGCAGAGTGCCCTGGGGCACATCAGCGAGCCCAACACATTCGCCCCCTGCTCTTCCGCACGGCGGAGCGTCGGCCAAGAAACTGTTCAGTTCAGTGTTGTCCTGGGCACAGAAAATGAAAACCTAGCTGCTCCCTCATTCCAGTGACGTACCTGTGGGATCGCCCTGAGGCTCCCAGAGAAGATCCGGCGGAGAATTCGGGTGGCCACTGGCTACGGGCACAGCTGTAATCAAGCATGTTCCCATTAGATGTGGGGATCTGCTTCTTTCTGGGTGACCTGCACTGACTGGAAGGGGCTCAGGTAACGACAGGGGAGCCAGCTGTGGGTGGAGGTTTATTGCCGAAGCTGCCGAGGGGCCTGGGTGACCTGTTTGCTGCACCTGGAGGCTTTCAACAGACTGTTCTTTCCAGGCCACGTGCAACAACACCCCTCAAGGCCCAGCGGATGGACAAAGCTACGTAGGGCCCCTCGGGGATTTTTCTCACGGGGAGGTCTCTTCTGTGCACAAAAGCAGCCCACGTGAAAGCAGCGGAGGAAAACAGCGATCACTCATTCACACGTCTCGTGGAGAAGAGAGCCCTGGCCAGGCAGAGGCTGCTGCAGCAGCGCTGCCCTGTCCGGTCGCCATCTGCTCCCCGGGCTGTGGGCTGGGGACGTGTGTCCCACGGGGACCCGGGTTCGCCCAAGGAGAGGGAGCACTGCAGGGCTGGGGCAGGAACGCTCCTCTTTTCTTTCCTGAGCGGCCAGATCTCGCTCAAGGCCGGCCGGCCCCGAGGCTGAAAGCCGGGATGCCGCCGGGGAGCGGCAGAGCCACCAACCTGGGCCCATCTGGCAGCGAGCAGCCCGGGGAAGAAGTGCTCCCCGGGCTCTTGCCTGGCTCCTGCAGTGCTGCTCCGGCCCTGGCACACAGCCCGGGGGAAGGCTGCCCCGGGGCAGGGCGGCACAGGGCTGGCTCGAGGGACGGTTGCTCCCCGCCGCCCCCGGCCCCACCGTTCGTTCCCCTGGAAAACGCCCCCACAGCGGCCGCAGCCCCCTGCGCCTCCCCGCAGGACATCTGCCTCCCACTGCCCGTGGAGCTGGGCACGGCTCCCCCGGCCCGGCCCGGCCCCGCTGTCACCCCGAGGGGCAGTGGGTGCCGGGCCGCGCTGCCAGGGCTGGGTGCTGGCCCTCACCTGCCCGCACGCCTAATCCCCGCGCTCGCCACCGCGCACCGCTGACACGCCGGGCTTGCAGGGCCACCAGGACGAGGAGGAGGAGGCGGGTGGGGGCCATGGCCCCCTGCGCCTGCCCCGCGCCGCTGCCGCTGCCGGCACTGCTGAAGCGGTGCCCGCGGCACAGCCCTCCAGCGCCGGGCGGGGCCCGGCAGGGCTCTGTGACGTCAGAGCCCGGCCTCCGCGCGTCACCGGGCCCCTGGGGCACCGCCCCTGCCCCGAGCACCGCCCCCGGCCCGCCCCGGCCCCCCCCGGCCCCTCGGGAGCGGGGGGCGCCTGTGCCAGCCCATTGCTGCCCCCGCGGCGGGGCCCTGGCAGGCGGGGGACGCTCACCTCATGGCCCTGCCCCGGGGGGGAAGGGTCAGCTTGGAGACCCCCGGAGAAAGATTCCGCCGGGGGCGAGAAAGACGTTCTCTGGGTCTGGGAAAGGCAAAGGCATCCCTCACCGGCAGAGCGAGGAGATGGCCTGCTTGGAGCACGGGCACCCTGCACACCTCGGAGGGGCTACGTTGCCAACTTGGCCAGCAAACTCAAGCTCCGCGGCTCCTTCGCGGAACTCGCCTCCTTCTAATGCTAAAAATCCCGCCGGCAGGTCAGAGAGAGCCTTGTCCGGGGGAAGAGCCTTCCCCTGGCTGGGGCGTGCCACCACACGCGTTGTGGCAGCAGTGGCAGAATTGCACGGGAACTACTGTGAAGAATGTAACATAAAGCATTTTGCTTCAGCCATGTCAGAAACAAGCTCATGTATATTAAAAAAAAAAAAAAAAAAGTTTTATTGGGGACAAAGTCAGTGGAGCAAAGAACACAGCGCTGGGCGCAGTGGCGCAGTCTGCCCCAGCTGGGGCTTCTTTCTGTAGAGTCTCCAGGAGATTTCACTGGTTGAGCGAAAACGGCGGGTTTTCTCCTCTTGACACCTGCCCAGCTCCTTTTTCTTGGTTTCTCCGAGGCTGTCTCTCTCAGTACTTTTCCACTGCCCTCTCGGGTGGTTAGTGTGTGTGTGTGGGGGGTGAAGTCCAGGTCTCTCTCCATCAGGAGTTCTTTGCTTAACCCTTTTCTGCTGGCTGCCATTCCTCCCCAGCCCCCCCATCCAGATTCCCCTTTACATGACACCTAACCACAGACCCCACCCCCCCATCCTCTTGCTTGCCCAACTCCCCACAATGCCCAACCATATGCCTAACTTGTGATCACAAAAGGCTTGCTTAACTGTTATAATTTTAACAATACTGCTTTAATAACAGTAACTCAATAAAAGGAATTGTTTAATCACTTTTAGCGAAAGCAAAATTCTTCTGTTACTTCTCCCAAACCACCCCTTTTCTTTTTAATACCATATTTTGCCTGAGCTTACTAACACTTGTCTCATTCTTTTCTGAATATCCTATCTTTGTGGGCACCAGCTGATGCAGCCATTTCAGGGTTTACCGGCATAGCTGCTATTTGCATCCCCTCAATAACATGAGATACTAGCCATATAAAGCAGGGTATTAAACATGGTAAAAACAAGCAGCCTGTGATAGCACAAAGGACGTAAAATACAACCTTTTCCCACACTCTGATGTTGGACATAACAATAAATCACTTGTTGCACGGATTTGCCGCTATTAGAGCGAACTAGATCAGGATGATGAGCGGAGGTCCAGTATAACATAGAGTCCCACCTCTCATGCCCATGGGCATGCAGCCCACAGCTGAGATAAAGGTCTTCTTGGTGACGAGCACAGAGGTTAACCCGGTCTTGCCCTCTACTGTTTTCAAATGTAACAAATCCGTGTTTTAACAGTCAGTCAATTCAAGTGCAGCTCCTTTGTAGCCACTTCCTTTGTTTCTAAGCAAATGTTTTTCGGCACTTTCTGTCAGTGTCCTTCCACCGACTCTCAGGGACATCCCAAATTTCGGGGACTAACCTCCTTTTCCCACAAATCAAGGTTACAGTTCGTGCCCCTTCCCTATACTCACAGTCCCTGTTACAGTTATAACACAATTTTCTCCATATACAATACCACCTGCGGTTACACGTTTCACACTCACACAAAACCCACGCTTCACGAAATTCGTGTATGCACTCGAGACATGGTATTACCCTAATAGGTTGATTTTCTAGCAATGCCCGATCTAACCCAAAACGCTCATAGTCTATTACCAAACAGCTTTTTCCCTGATATCTTTTTGTGGTTCCCCATACAGCGAGTAAGTAAATTTTCAGTGTCACGCCCGAACCCAGTCCCCTCCCGACAAATTTATTTAGTCCTTTTGAGGTAGACTCGTAGTTATCACTTGATGGTACCACAGTCCACTCCCGAGGCTTTTCCACCGGTCCTTTTCCTCGGGAGGCAGGAGTCCCACCCCTTTTCTTTTGTTCGGATCGCTGTCTCGGTGGTCAGCAGCACCTGAAATGGACCTTCCCACTCGGGAGTTAAGGATTGATCGTTCCACACTTACATACTGATTTTCTACTTCTGTGCTGACAATATCCCTGTTATTACTCATAGATGGTAATCCAAACATCATTTCATAGGGAGAAATTCCCAGGTCCCTCGTGGCTGAGTACGGATCCTTAATAAGGCCAACGGCAGGCATTTAATCCAAGGCGTCCGAGTCTCGATCATTAACTTAGTCGAGGTTTGTTTTAAATTTGATTCATTCTTTCTCCTCTTCCAGAACTTTGAGGGTGCCACAGGGTGTGCCAGCCCATTCGATCCCTAAAGCTTCAGATAGTTGTTGTAAGATTTTTGAAGTGAAATGTGTTCCTCTGTCTGAGTCTATTCTTTCCATTAATCCAGAGCTGGGGATAATGTTTTCCAATAACACCTTGGATCCCACGCTTGCCATTGCCCTTGGTGTGGGGATTGCTTCCACCCAATGAGGTAAGTGAGCCACTAATACCAACAGGTACTTCCACCTTTGTATTTGAGGTAGCTCTGTGAAGTCTACCTGGAGGCTTTGAAAAGGCCGTATGGCTAGCTCCCATCTCCCAGCCACCTTTCCTCTCATTACCTTTTTGTTCACTTTTTGACAAATCAGCAGCTAGTTGTTTAGCTGCCGTGTTTATTCCTATACACCCATATTCTCTAAGAAAAAATCACAAAGCGCTTGCATTCCCCAGTGTGTTTACTGATGCATTAATGACAGAAGTTCTCGTGATAATGTTTTGTTTAAAATCTGCCTTCCATGGACTGGTAAAGTCCATTTTCCTTCTGGATATTTTTCACCCCTATTTTAAGTATATCCTTCTCCTCTTGTTCTGTGAAATTCCCGACTTAATTCTCATAATCCCCTGGCGTTACTACTGCTGATGACTCTGTAGCTGTTTCTCTGTCTGCTTGATCTGCTAAGTTATTCCCCCTTATTTCCATCGATGCTCCCCTCTGATGCCCTCTCACATGCACAATTGCAATTTCTGAGGGGAGATTCAGGACTTTTAAAACTTCTCTAACCACCTGCTCGTGTACTAGCTCCTTCCCTTTTATATTCACAAGCCCACACTTCCCCAAATTTGTGGACTACTCCAAATGCATACTTTGAGTGTGTACACTGTCCCTTCCTTATGTTTCAAATATGTCCACGCCTGTTTCAGGGCATAGAGTTCACAGACCTGCGCTGACCACCCAGCAGCTATTTTCCCTTTTTCTAACACTACCATTTTCTGCCCATAGATAACTGCATAACCCGATATTCTTTTCCCTTCTAGGCATTGAGAGGACCCATCAATAAATAGTTTTTCCCTATAGGGCAAAGGTTCATCTAACACTTGTTCTCTTGTTGTTGTTTGATAATTAATAAAATCCAAACAGTCATGTTCTGGTTCCTGAACACCCTCCCCATATAGAAATAGGGATTAATATTTTTAGTTGTTATTAACGTGAGCTCTATCTGATTGTCCTGGTTGGGGCTGGACTAGAGTTCCTGTTGGTTTCAGTAGCTGGAGGAGTGCTGCAGCACAGAGACCCCAGGGGCTCCCCAGGGCCCAGTGCCCTCACCTGTGTGCGGGGGCGGGGGGAGCACAGCTGGAGGGCTGGGCCCCGATTGGCTGATAGTCCATGTCATGTGACATTGTGCTCACTATATAAAGGCAGGAGAGGCGGGGGGCTGCCACTTCTGGGAGTGTGGCTGTGGTGGCTTTGTGTTTGGGATTGCTGGCTGGGAGCAGGTGGGTGTTGGTTGGCGGGTGGTGAGCAGCTGTATTTTACATTACCTGCTGATACTGCTGTCAGTGTATTATTCTGTTACTGTTATTGAACTGTTTTTATCTCAACCCGTGAGTCTCCCTTTGCCCCTCCGATTCCCTCCCCATTCCCAAGTGGGGGGAGGGTGGGTGAGCGGCTGTGTGGTGTTTAGCTGCTGAGTAGGCTCAAATGACGACAGGGCACACCCAGGGAAAGTGCCTGCCTGAGAAGCAGCCTCACCAGCTGTGCTCCTTGAAATACATGGTGCTCTCATCATTGTCAAACCCACCTCCAGCAGGGAATGTTTTGCTTCTGGAAGAGAGGAGGACAAACAGCTTTGGCAGAGCTGACAAGGATGAGTAAAGCCTCCAGCCCTCCCCACTGGATGAGTGAGAGTCCATGTCAGAAAGCTGAGGGTCTGAGCTTGTGGAATGGTGAAGGAAGGTCAAAAAGGAGAAACTCCTCCTGTGGGAGGAGAAGGGCTCAGGTGATCTGGCCCCAAAGACCCTGCTCTGACTTTACCTGAACAACAGTGGAGGCGGGAGAGTGCCCGCGCTGGCTCCAACAGAGCCCAGCCCAGCTGGAACTCAGCACCATCAGCCCCTCCCCAGCATCTCTGCTGGAAGTTACTGGGTCTCAGGGTATCTGGGGAAGGAGGGAGCTGGGCTGGGGACATGTGCAGCACAAGACAGGGCTGAGACTCAGCTCTCACTCACACACTTTCACTGCCCAAACACCCACAGCAAAATCAGCAGTTCCCTGACTCGGGACATCCAGCACCCACCTGCAATGCTCAGCATGAAGGGTTGGCCTCTGTGCTGACGGTGCCTGGAACAAAGACCTGGGGCCTCACTCGCTGCCTCTACCCCACCACATCTTCCCTTCCGTGATCTCTCTGCAAACCCTGACTCAGATCTAATGCCCTGCTCTGCCCTTGACCTTTTCTCCCCACAGATCAATAAGTGATGCACCAGAAAAAAAAAAAAAAAAAATTCCCCGTGCTTTGTACTGTCTCCTGCAGTTTATAGCACCAACAATTCCTCTAGTGACCCAGGCACAGCTCATCTCTCCCC